TGTGCGGATGAAAAACTGTACTGAAATACAACTTCGTACCCAGTCCCTGATGAATACCTCTCCATAATATGGAGGTAAACCTACCATCCCGATCATATACAATCACTTTCGACACATCATGTAACCGGATAATTTCTTTAATATAGATCTGTGCTAACTGGTCTATCGAATTTGTTTGTCTAATGTGAAGGAAATGGGCATATTTTATCAGTCAATCAACAAGAACCTAAATAGTATCATGTCATTGTCTTGATCTGAGGAAACCCATAGCAAAATTCATTGTCACCTCTTCTCATTTTCACTCAGGAATAGGTAACAATTGTAGAAGACCTCCTAGTCGCTGATGCTCTACCTTTACTAGCTGACAGACCTCACATTTCGAAATAAACTCCGCTATGTCTTTCTTCAATCCAGGTCACCAAAACATATCATTTAGATCTCCATACATCTTGCTGCTTCCTGGATGAATGATATAATCTGAATAATGAGCCTCGTGTAGAATCTCTTGCCTCAAATTTCCAAACATAGGGACCCAAAGTCTATCCTTATAAAAAATAATACCGTAATCAAAAACTTGTAGTTCAGATTTCTTACCAGATCTGATCTGATCATACAATTTTGAATATTCTGCATCTAATTTTTAAGCTTCATGAATATTTTCTTTTAAAGTGAGCTGAATGGTCATCTGAGTCACTATACAAGAATTCCACTCAATAGAAGAAATCACCTCCAAATATAATCTCTCCATATCACGTATCAAATACTCATCCAAAGTGAATTGTATACCTGATAATCCTGAAGACTTTCTACTTAGAGCATATGCCACTACGTTGGCCCTACTAGGCTGATACTAAATAATCAGATCATAGTCCTTGATCAATTCAAGTCATCTCCCTTATCTCAAATTCAGATCTTTTCGAGTGAATATGTACTTCAAACTCTGATGATATGTGAAAATATCACACCATACAAGAAATGACGCTAAATTTTTAAAGCAAATATAATAGCATCCAACTCTAGATCATGCGTCGGATAATTCCTTTTATGTGGCTTCAACTATCTTGAAGCATAAGTTATCACCCGACCATGTTGCATTAACACACATCCCAAATCTCTCAATGAAGCATCACTGAATACCTGAAATCCTTCTATACCAGAGGGAAGAGCCAAAACTGGAGCAGAAGTCAAGCAATCCTTCAATCTCTGAAAACTAGTCTCACACTCTAGTGTCCAAACAAAATCTACAAACTTTTGAGTCAGTCTCGTCAGAGGTGCCGAAATCTGAGAAAATCCCTTACAAACTTCCTATAATATCCAGCAATGTCCAAGAAACTACGTATCTCAAACACCGTAGTAGGCCTCGACCAATTAGTGACTGCTTGAACTTTCTAGGGATTAACATAAATACCATCACCACTCACCACATGTCCCAGAAAGGAAATACTCCTCAGCCAGAACTCACATTTGAAGAATTTTGCATACAACTGGTGCTGCCTTAAAGTCTCAAAAATACACATCTCCCTTACAGCCGAGCTAGAGCAGGTTAGGAAAGCACAAGCTGACTGGCAGATGCAAATGCAGCAAACTCAATTTTTAGATGAATTGTGAAAAAATGAGGGAGTAATTCAGTGGAAAGAATACATCTTCAGTAGAGGAGGAGACTGATTCATAGTAGATGTTGTATATTTTATTTTTGACATCTGTATTTATTTGTTTGCGTGGACATATAAACTTATTTATTTTCTAGACGCCTGCCTTTATTTATTATTAGATGTTTTTTGATGATATTCTTCTTATTTTTGTTCATGTTTATATGTTTTATGTTTAATATTTGGTGATATTTTTTATTAGAGATGTATGTTTGAATGTATATTGTATTGAAACATTTGTATGTAGATTATTTTTTAGAAATCAGTTTTATAAGTCAGAAAGTTATTTTTTTTTTGTTTATGCTGCAGGTTTTTGATGGATTTTACGTCGAAAACTCTATTGGCAATACTATTAACAAAAATGGAATGCCATTTATGGCATACTTTTATGCTAGAATTTTCGGTGATAAATCTTCCATTATTATCTGTCGATAGTTGTGCGATGGATCAGGGCGGCGATTAAAAGTTAGTTTTTTCGACGTACAAATGCGCCGGAAATACCGATGGATTAAATGTCAGAATTCTCTTAATAAATACGACGTATTAGCATCCTCTTTTTCGCCTGACATGCTGCCGAAAATTTTTTCGAGGATACAATTTTTTACTTTTTATCGGACACAATGGTGAAAAAGGATTCATGTAGCCGACCCCACATTGTGGGACAAAGGCTTGATGTTGTTGTTGTAAAATTTCACCGATTAATATTTTCCAACGCATAAATTATCGTCGGATGTGTTTTCATAAAAAATTCACCGAAAAATGATATTTTCCTACATATTTCTAGGGTTACCAGCGTATTTCGTTCGCTGGTAACATGACATTTTCCTGTAGTGTCATTTTTTTATTAGCAGATTAATCTTGACACTACCCAATTTTTCAAATGGGTTAAGAATTTGGACATGAACCCAACCCATTTGTTAAGCAAGCCAACCCAAGCATGATTTTTTGGGTTAATTTCAGGTCAGGTTTTCATGTCATGTCATTAATTGACACCACTAGCATCAAAGCTCCCTCGACAAGAAACATCCATCCTTTACTACTTCTAATGGCGAAGTAGATAAGCTCAAGATCTTTCTTTCTCTTCATGGGAGCTTGATAAGATAAGGGATGTTGCTTTTACCTTTTGATCAAACTTTATAGTGCTGATTTATATGGAGAACTTTATGGTAGGTCCTCCATGGTTGTAGACAAATCCTTGGAAACCAAAAATTTGAACTTTTGTCATGCAATTTGAGGAAGAAAGTAGTTTTTGTGATGCTTTGTCACCAATTATGATTTTACGAGGAGCGAAAGGGATCTACTTTCTTTTTTTTCATGATGTAGTATAGTGATTGAGAGGTCTTTAATGGCCTCTTGGAAGCAACGAATTAGGAGATGAAGAGATAGAAAAATTACTCTGATGAGCAGTGGCTAGTAGCAGACAACGAGTTGAACCACTTTTGTATAACATCCTTGAAAGAGTTTACAAAGAGCAAATACTTGAGTCACTTAAAAAATGTTGTATATTGCTATTATATTATAAAATATGTCAAGATGATCTTAGGGGTTAGTCCATTTTTCTCTATTGGCTTGCTAGTTTCTATTTTTATACTACTTCCTAGTTTCCATGAGTCTAATGTTCTAAGGCACAACTGGTCGGTTGTCTTAAGCTTTAACTATATTGCACCCTTAGTTACTACTAAACTAGGGGTCATCTAGAACTAGGAGTATAAAGAAGTTGACCTAAGTTTGACTAGCCCCTAACTTCAATTTAAGGAGTATATATGAGTTGACCTAAGTTTGACTTTCTCCTAATTTCAATTTAACTTTATTAATTAATCAAATTTGAACTCTAAATTAATTTAGAATTTAAGTAGGCTCAAAAGAATGAGATGATAATTCTAATTAAAGGAACTATAACAATGAAATTATGAAAATAATGAAAAATTGTTGTATAAGTGACGAGTATTAAATTAAGAGAATGGAAGAAAATTAGCTAGGATTTCATATTTTTTAATAAATTCATATTTTAATCATTTCCATAGATTTTTATAACATTTTATAAACAAGTCAATTCACACACTAGCAATTAGATTGAGGCTAGCTGCAACTTGACACATAAGCTCATCGAGCACAATTGCAAGCCATTCACCAAGTTTACCTTGAGCTAGCTCACAAGTCAGTTTGACTTAGCTACACCCCATAATGTAACTACCAATGAAAACAAATTAAATTATAGTTCTGAAACCACCTATGCTCCATCTGATCAATTGCACTGAACATCGATCTTATTGGATAATAATCCTTACCCATAGCCCCTAATAACCCAAAAATGACCTGGTTAAACAAAACCTTTTCTTATATATAATCTACATAAGTTAAGCTAGTAACTGCAGTGAACTAAGCCAAATTTCAAGGAGATTTTCTTCCTCGTTTAGAGCTTATATTGAACACAAAAATTATTTAAGAACATCCTAACTCAAATCACGTCATGATGGATTTGAATATTCTTGAATTTGTACTGAGATTAGTGCACTAATCTCAGAAAAAAATCCAAAAATATTCAGTTACTTCACCCCAAAATGAAAACCCTTATGATAAGTTAATCTCATTTTCTACACAGATTAAGCAAAATACGACCTATGACTTATCTGCTTCTTGAAGATATCCTGACAACTGATACGTGTTTGAAACAAAACAAGCCTGAATCATTCAAATAAAATATAACTTCATCAATAGTATTATAGTACTACAACGTCACCATTATCAAATTGCTCCATATGTTAATAAACACCTTCTCTTCAGATCACCTCTTCTGTTTCCATCAGAAACTATGAACTATCCTAACCCTAATAATCTCAATAACAAGCTTGGGGAAGCAGATAAGCTGTTCTCAAAATGTCATAAATTTTACAAGATAGTTCCCGGAATGCCCCTCTACCCCAAATAAAATCCCAAAATTCTATTCCCAAAAGGCATCCATCTAGGTTTTGGAGAATGCAGGGATAAATTAATAGCGACAAACAAAATATATGAGAAGGAAACAGTCTCGATAGAAGCTCGAAGAAGAATGACCAGGAGCTCAGTTCGACTTCTCAGGCATTGATGTGGCGAAGAAATGGCCGCTAATTAACTTCTAGGGTTTCCAATAATTAAAAGCAGAACGGCGCCTTTCATACAGATTCGGAAAATAAAATATATCGAAATTAACAGGAGGAATAATAGATCTGTTAGGTTTAAACCCTAACAGCCCTAGAGATAAAAAAGAAGCAGGCTTGGGAATTACTGTAAACCCTAGGGGTAGAAACAATGAGAAAAGAGAGTATAAATGCGAAAAGGTGGAGATAAGAAATTACGGGAGAGCGATCTGACCTGGGAGATCGTGTACTGGGGACTATTGATGGCATCCCACGGAGAGAGATTAAGCTGGCACTGAATCTCGCCGGCGTCAGCTTCGGACGGCGGCTGAGCAGATGAAGAAGCAAACGGAGAATGGTAAGCCCATCCTAAGAGCTTCGACGCCTGCTTCCTTATCCTCATCAATTAGTGAAGCAGAGCAGAAAAAGAATCAGCGAAGCAAAGCAGATGAAGAAGAAGAAGAAGTTAGCTCGTGCGCCCGATAGGTGGAGTGAAGAAGAGAAAGAGCTGTAGATCTTGAGGCTGAAGAACGAAAGAGAGAGAGAAGGAGCAAGAGGGTTTATGCTTCGCTTGCCTTTTCTGTTTTTTCCAGCTATATTTTAGGGTAGAGTAAATTCGTGCTGTTTATACATTTACGTTTATGCCCCTTATATTTGGTAGAATTGCTTATTTGCCAAGTGGAGGTTTGTGCTTTAAAGGGAAAAAAGAAATTACAAAATACAAAAGAAAAACATTAGTGATTTTGACATTCGTGAAAGAGCGACCGCAAATGAGGATAAAATAGTCATTTCAGCTTTAACACTCGGTCTGTCCTTTTGGCAAAAAAATTTCTGCAGCCTTATCATTTTTTTATTTTGAAAAAAATAAAAAAAAACGATATTTTGTCATGTGACCATCTATTTGACCGTTATATAGTTTTTTTTTTTTCCAATGAGAAAAAAAATGCTTAACATAATCAAATAGCATCACATAGCTCACTTTGGTCTATTGACTATGAGCTTAGACTATCAACTAAGAGATCTTGAATTCGAACTTATATATGCGATGAGTGAGCATGCCTAAATTGGACTAAATGACCAAAAAAAAAACATCACAAAGATTAGCTCAATATGATTATAATTTGCTCATAAAAATAAAACTTATTTGAAGATCATGTCATCGGCTGACTGGCGTATATCATTTTATTTTTTTATTTTCATTAGTTATTTCAAATATTAGTTTATTCGAATTCGTGCGCAACATTGTTAGAGATCATGCAATCCTTTCAAATAGGATTGATTATAGCGTTACACGGTTTGCTATGAAGGTTACATATGACTCAAAAATCGTATAAATAACGGGTTTACATAGTTGCTTATGAAGAACATGTAATTCTTATATTCTTTCGCACAATTTCTATTGGTCAATATATCCTCTTTTTCTTCTTTATTGATGATTATAGAGATTTTTTAACCCATGAAGGCTTTGCTAGACTTTGTTGGACAAAGACTGCATGAATCTTGATGATCTAAAGCCTAAAGTTCATTGATCTTTAAATACCAAGGCTATCATACTACTTATAATATCATTTTGATAATAGTTATTATAAAAAGAGAGTGATGATCTTACTTCAAATTACAAATATACCGATATTATAATTGAAAATGATATAGCACAAAATTTCTACATAAGAGATTAAGCACATGGAAAGAAGATAAAAAAAATCAATATGTTTCAAAGATATTCACCCATGTTCAAAGCTACACAAAAGTTAAATTATTCAACTAAGTTTCAAAAGAAAATTCATGAAATGTTTCTTCATATATTAAGCAGTGATTAGTTGTTACCATTTGATAAAGATAGCGAAAGAAATCCAAATTTTTTTCAAACTTTTATGTAACTTTTCTGTATATATTATGATAAACAGAAATCTTGATATAAGTATTTGAATAAGAAACTTTTAGGGTTAAACTCAACACCATTTAAATTCTATTAATATAAATCAAAACAAACATTTCTATGAGAAAAGCCCAATAACTTCATAAGTACCTTAAGTCGAGTCAAAATGGACCTAAATAAATTCAAAGAGATGTAGTTGAAACTTCATGTTAGTATTCAAGGGGCTAAATAATATTTGAATTTATGTGCTTATGTTTGAAACAAGTATCTCGATGAGAGAAATCCAACAATCATAATATTACTCAACTTTGATATCATTAAAATATGAAAATACCTAAGACATTGTATAAATAAGAATTAATATAGGCAATTCGACGGAGCGTTTGGAGACTTTGGCTAAAATAAATAAAATATTTCACCCATCTTCACTTGAATTAGATAGGAAAATTTGAAAAAGCTTGGATAAATCAAGAATTCTAGAGCTCTGTCTGATGCTCAATGCCATAAATACCACATCAGATTGTCATTTTTCAAGTACCACCACTTCACTAGTATTACAAAATTATCTGGCCATCATCATTTGATTGTTATTTGTGGATATCGTCAATTTCTTCCAAAAAAATTAATGTCCTCTATCACCAATATGGACGATGTAGGCGTCGATACCAATGTTGATGCACACCATTAGTAATAAAGTCAATGCATACCATTAATATCAACCTAGATGCTTGCTGTTGCTAATAAGAATGATGAATGCAATCAACATCAATATCAATGAACATGATTATCAGTAAAACAAATGCTTGCTACCTACATAACGTTCGATGTCCATCATACCCAAATACTAATGAACACAATCGACACTAACATCAATGCATGATATTTTCAATAATGTCGATGCTCAACTTCAAAATTAACCCTATTAATTTCTATTTTTAAAAAAACATAATGTGTGCTATTAACACCAATGTCGACACACAACATTGCCAGTAATATTGATGTTTGCTGTCGTTAACAAGACTAGCTAGTATAAACCATTGACACAAATGTGAAAACATTTTAGTGCCAATGATGCTAGTACTCATTATCGAAACAAACCCTAACACATATCATCACAAATAAAGTTGTCTATTGCAAAAATCATCAATACCAATGCCTGATATTGACATCAAAGCTTATGCTTATCTTTCTCATCTCTAATCTTCCCTTCTGCATAGAGACCAACAATCTATTGAAGATTACTACAATATCTCAAGGCTACACCTATTACTTTAAAAACCTTCTTTCAAAGCTCATTTCTATAATATTGAAACAAAATTTTCTTCAGTTATAGGGAAGGGTATGCTTTGTAAATTATAATATATTCTATTAAAATCATTTCAACTGAGACTTCATTTGTGACAACTTTTCTAATATTTTTTAAACTAGATTTCTAGTCCAAAGTTTATTTTTGAATTAGAAAATTTTGTATTAAAAACTTGCTTTAAAAAATAGTAAAAAAACTATCCCAAAAAAAGCTTGAGTCAACACCTATGACTTTTCCCATTCTCGAATCTCCATATAAAAAAGCTTTAGTCTCCTAAAAGCTACTCTTAATTTATCTTATTTGTGTGTATGATCTTCGTACAATAATAACATAAAAGGCTTCGTTTGGGACGATTTTTTTATTGCTTCTTAAAATAGAGTTTTAGAACTAATTTTTGTATTAAAACTTTGTTTTCGTGAAGCCAAAATCTCTCTCTATTAACCACTTTTACATAAACTCGAGAATTTTAATGATTCTGAGGATTATTGTTTGGTTGAATGCACTCCAACAGAAATAAAAAAAAAAAAAATTGTGGTCATTTTGATGAAATTAAAAAACATAGAGAACATACCATCGACAGAGACGAGATCGACGGAGGTGAGGTTAGAGGGGGTGGCCGGCACCCGCCGGCGGAGCCGCGGCGGCATGCTTGGTTAGATGAGGGATTTATTTATGATTTTTTAACAGTGCAGAAACCAATTAGAAATACTTAATTACACTTCAGAATTCTCCTTAGGAAGCGTTTGATTGCTTAACATAAAAGAAAGTAAGAAACTGCTTTTAAAAATGATTATTTTATTTAAATTTATCATTTTATTGAATTATTAATTAATAGGATTTAGTTATAAATAAATATTTAATTTCAAAATTTGCAAATCTTCAAAGGTTTTCAGATGTGATGCCAATAAAAATATAAAAAATAGTTTCAAACATTTAATAAAAAATATAAAAATTTACAGCTTAGGAGAACAATTAAGATCACATTGCAAGGAAAAAATCCTTAAATCTTTAATTAAAATTTATCAAGATAATCTTTTTTTATCTATAAAGCAATTAAAAATACATCAAAATCAATAATTCTTCTTAAAATAAATTTAATAATTTTTTTAATTTATCTTAATAAAATTTAAATTTTTTTCTTAAAAACACGGTTGGATTCATACTGAGCACAACATACAGAGCTCAAATATCAAAATCATCAAGCAAAAATTTGATGGCCAAACATTCAATTAAATCAAAGAAGAGATTTTAGAGAACGAGCCTTCACTGGCTTCCTCCCTTTCCTCTTGATCATCCTCTTCGTCTTCTTCTTCTTCTGCAAATAGGTAACGTTACCGAAGCTCTCACCATAATCTTCATCATCATCATCTTCTTCTTCTTCTTCTTCTTCTTCTTCTTCGACAGCATCAACATCAACAGCAGCTTCACTATCAGCACTCTTTACATTGCAATCCTTCGAAGAAATTCTGTTCTCCTCATTCCCCTCCGAACTTTCGGTGACGGGACCTCTGCGCTTACCCCACCAAGGTCCCAGAATGGAGTAATAATAGTAGTAATTAGAGGCGGATCCGCCGGAATCCACGGAGAAAGCATATTTCTTCCTGTGATCGCCGGAGACTTGGTCGTCGAAGCGAGAGCGGTAGGAACGGAGCTGGGTGAGATGATAGCTGCAAAGAGAGTGTGGGCTCTGCGCCAGGCGCTTACAGTGCCATCCTTTACCATCCGTCTTCTTGCATTTGATCATGGCGACAGAGCCCGAGGATTCCATTTCTTTCTCTCTTCTCTTCCTCCCCTGCCCTTTCTTTTCCTCCATTTTCTCCTCGGTTTCCTCTTTCTTCTCCCCATCTTTATCTCCAAATCCATTTTCGAAGCCGCCCATCTGCTCCTCATTCGTGGCCTCCATCTCTGCTTCCTGTCAAAATATCAATAAGTTATGATCCATCATAACTAAGAAGAACGATTAGCCCCAAATTTCTTGTTGAGATTGTTTGATTTAGCAGTTGCTGAACAATCTAGGGTTTGTGCTCAAAATTTAAATTCTTACAACTCATGAGAAAAAATTAAAATAAAGGAGACGATATCGAATTTTTTTGGAGATTGTAAGAAATAGGGGAAATAAGACAGGGATTAGGTGAATAATGGATCTAACCAGTGGATGATTAGATAAGCGGTGGATGATTGAATTATTGACCGATGAAGAACGTTTAAGCTCGCATAGAAGGGCAGCCGCAGCAGAGATGGCTGCGTCGGAATCATATGGAATCGGAGGTGGTAAATCCGTACGATGATCGGCGGTGCAGCCGAGAAGGCTCTCCGGCTTCCGTCTCCTCATGAGAAAATGAGAACACGGAGAGGAAGAACTGAGCAGAGATATTTGAGAGAATACAGAGCGAAGGAGAGAAGCTTTTCTTGTTTTATTTTCTAACCTTTTTTTATTTTAAAAATTGTTAATATTATTGAAGATATATAAAACTACTCTAGCATAACAAGAGGAGGTGAATTGGTTTTTTTTTTTTTTCAAATTAAAATTTTGTATAGACGGTTAAGAAAATAAAATATTTAAAAATAAAAATAAAAAATACTTTTTTATTTTTAAACTTTTAGAAAATATTTTTTTAATTTTGAATTTTAAGTTAAAGTTAACTAGAGATTTAATAACCACAACTTTCACAAAGATAATCGAAGTCAAAACACAAGAAAGTAAATGCAAGAAGGAAAAAATACAAATAAAATTTTTATAGTGGTTTAGTCAAAATCGGCTTACGTTCGCTTCTCAAAGGTTCTCCTTTTGAATATTCTAATATAACAGTATCTTTTAGCACTCAACCATGTGAAAAAACCTCTCCCCTTACTAGATGAAAATGACATTTACAAACTCTTCAATCCACGAAAAGCCTCCCTCCTTCAGCCTCCCGGCACAACGGAAATGCCACTCCCTCATGCTCCTTGCACGATAGAGACGTCAATCCCTTCTTGTATACCTCGTACTCTGAAGATGACACTACCCTAGCCTCCTCCTAGGCTAGTAAAAACTTTCACCCAAAAACCATTTCTTAGAACTCTTCTTCAAAGCTCCACAACCGCAACACAAAGGAGTCAAGGTGCAGGACGACAAGAATAACCGTGCGAATCCCTCACACCCCTTGAATCGCTCAAGAAACTCTCTCTCTCTCTCTCTCTCTCTCTCTCTCTCTCTCTCTCTCTCTCTCAAGTGGTTTGGACTCTATTACAAAAGAGTAGACACCACTCCCTCTCTAAAGTTCTCTACCTGAAAAAATGTCTCTGAATAATCAACACAAAACCTCAGGTCTGGTGAGAATTAAATAAAGTGAGTTATTTAAATAAGATCTTAATTTTTAATTTAATATTTTTGATTGTACAATATGATACTAGGATCGTATTATCCAATTAGTTTAATTCCCATCACAGATCGTCATGTACGATATTAAGTTGTACAGTACGAATAGTTTTATCGAATCAGACATCACCCATGATGAACTAATGTTCAACCAATGAGCTCTCTATTTAATCAGACTGTCTAATTTGAATTGTACAGTACGATTATTAAGATTTGATCATGATTTGATTCCTTAATCTACAAAATAAAATTAGGCAACATACATTAATGATCATTCAATATGAAATCCTTCGTACTGTACAATTAGTTCATATTTCAAGTTTGTCTAATTTTGATAACATAGATTCGACAATAGAGTTTATCAAAATAACTTATCGTCCTATATGATTAAATGTCATATAGTAGAATAACTATAATATAATTTAATTTAATTAAATAGTTAAAATAATTTTTGGATTAACATATTATTGAATCACAAATAATATTTGTAATATCAAACAACAGGTCGAGCTCTCAAATTTCAATAATATAAATATATTAAATAAAAAACAAGATATATAAATTAATTTTATCGATATTTAATTTTCATTAAATAGCTAAAATAATATGAGTCATGAATTATATCAATTTTAATTAAAATTTAAATTTTAATTATGAAATATCATATATCAATTTTTTGAATTATATCAATTTTAATAATGCTAAACATTTTAACTATTGTATCAAATATATAAGTAATTATTCTCAATTAAAATTTGATAACGCTTAGAATTTGATAGAAAAATAAATCAATAAATTTGATCCAAAATTTAAAATATGATCAATATTCTATTAAATTTAATAAAAAAATGAATGGATTTGTAATAGATAATATTTAGCTTGACTCTATTTATCTACAACCTTACATTTTATGAATGGTCTCAAATTTTAAAACTATTAGGCTACTTTTTCTTACCCTATGATTGGAAAATATTACTTACAAAGAAGGTTAGACAATGATACATCATTAAAAATCTATCAATTAAGCATGGATCTCAAATTTGATATCATAAAGATATTTAAATTTTTAAAAAATGATTAAGGAACAAGAGAATCAATGCAGACCATCTAATAGATTGTTTAGGGGTTTGGCTCAAATAATTAATATGTAACTCAAGAAAAGAAAAGAAAAATAAAAATAGACTTCTATATTTCACATTAAGGAGATCTAAAATTGGAGAAAGCTTAAAGATTTAAGAAAAATTCCATGCATTTCAAACGAACAAAATAGATCACTACAAAAAAATCGTCAAATATCAGCGGAGCTGGCCAATTACTGGTGGTTTTTAAAATTTTTGGTTTTAAAACCTTGTCGGAAAAAAAAACAACGTAGGAAATTAAAACCGACAGGTTTTTTTTTTTCTGCGGTGATATTTTCCAGCGGTTTTCCAATGACTATAACCGCAGTAAATTCCTGGCGCCAAGACTGCAGGAAAACCGCCGTAACTCACCGACGCGAAGACCACCGGCAATTATCAGTGGTATTACTAGCGGTCAATCTGCCGCTTTTTCTGGCGGCCAGACCACCGGACAGCCACCAGTAATTACTGGAGGTTAATAAAAAATTTGGAAGCAAATAAGCCGTTTGCTATCAACGTTTCCGACGACTGAACTATCGGTTAGCCGCCAAAAACCTGTAGCATTTGAAAAAAAAAATGACTACCTCCCCTCTATCTGAACAAATTTCCACATGTACATGTAGCAGCTGAGAATTATAAACAAAATGAAATATATTAATATAATATCCACAATCAACAAATGCTCAGGCAGTTCAAAACATAAAATATAAAATACATAAACTTTTAAACATGGGAAAACATAAACTTCAACTTGTTAAACAATCTTTAAAACATAAAGAACTTGTTTCACATTCATATGTTCAAAATATACTAGCTAGTTCTTCAAAAAAATACAATAACTAATCATCGTTCGTGTCCTCGTTGCCCGATGATTCATATACAAGCTCCTACTCCTTTTTCTTCTGATGTTCAGCTCGATATAATCATAGCTCTACTTGCATCTCAGTCTAAATTGATATCATCTCCTCTATCTCTCTTGTCAGAGGAGCAATCATCTATATGATGGTTTCGTCAGCTTCACTATCATCATAAAATTTGGAAGTCCTTAATTGTATATCCTTGCAAACCTAAGCCATAAACCCTCCCTCTCTATCTTCCTCCAACAACTTCTAACCATATGTGATACTCAGAATATTAGGTCAATCCTAAAGATAATCCATCACCATTACACGGTTGACCCTCATAAAGTCGTATAAAATCATCCTACAAAAATAAATTCATAAAATAAATTTTTTATTATTTTCTTATTATTGCTCAAAAAATGACACTCACGTGAGCTTTTCTTGCTTTCTAATCAACCCACTGATGATCAGATTGATGTTGGTGAGTTTTTGTACGCAACTCCAATGTTGTCAGCTCTTGACTAAGAAACTATTTATGCAAATAGAGAGTATAGTTAAAATAATGTACATATATTTGTGAAACTAATTGAAATAATATGTTATCAATCGTCGTCTATGCTTAATATGAGGCATTGAACCACCCGTATGAAGAGAGCTTCCTAAACTCGATATCTCCATAAATTCATCTATCAATCCTTTTCGACCCGGTAACAATCTGTTATATATCCAATATCTATCTTCTTGGATAGTCATTTGGATGTTAAAACTAATGTTCCCTCATAAAACCTATGTTAAAAGATGTGAAATGAGAGCATATATGATGAGTACATTAAAAATTATTTAGTAAATATAGTGAAAATAAAAAAAGATACCTTAAAGGTGTAGTAAAATTATTAAAAAGATGTATAATGCAACAATAAGAAGCAATATAGTACTTGTGGAATGAATTCTTATACAATAAGAAGCAACATACTATATCCATTTTACATGTAATATTTGTGTATTTATAGGATGATTTATTCATAATCAATAAGCTATGTAATACTATATCCATAACACTTATTTAGGTTCTCTTGGGTATTATTGGTCCTACCATGTTTAAAAAAGTTTAAGAATGGGTGACTAGCATACAAACTCCATGTGATTGAATGGGCTCTTATTATATGTCACTTGATTGCGCAAACAAGTATCCCTTTAAGGGGGATGGTTAATGTAGGGAACACTTATATGATAGTCATTAAGATACACATAAGCGTGCATAATCCTCATACCAAATGTTAATTAGAAATTGAGTTCATACCTCATACCAATTAGTTTAAGATCAATGGTCATCCACTAGAACATATAACTCATGCACTTATAGTTCTATCCTCCTAATGAATTGTTTATAAACTCCTCAAACTATTTGGTCATCCACAAAAACATAAAACTCATATTTTCACTATTTCATCTACATAATTTATGTTCACTTATATACGATCTAATTAGGTTAATCATGTCATAATGCATATTTGAAGTAGGTCTAGAAAATTATTAATGGTGAATCAACTTAAACTAAGTGGAACCTAAAACTTCTATACTCTAAACTCTCTATAAGTCTTAATAGTCTTCTGCAGTCATGTTCTTAGCATGTCACTCAAGAGCTAGCTCTATCTCTTTTCTTAACACTAAGTTACTGAACTCGACTAATGGACTTACAAAGTCAATAACTTACTCTTAGTTTTTTTTTTTTTTTTTGGTGGGAAATGGTAAGTATTAAGGCACGAATTTGATGTAGGTGTAAATGTTTAAGCCAAAGAAAAGCAACTTAGGGCTTAGCTAATTTAACATGAGTGGTAAGGAGATGGAAGGATAAGAGATCACCTTCAGCTAAGGAGATGGAGATCAAGGTCGATGTCGGCTAGGCTAGGGTGGAAGGTCAACTGAGGCTGCAACGAGCATTCTTTGGACAAAACGATACGAGGTAGAGGCGTTGAAATGAGGATGAAGGAGAGGGCGGGTTGGGTATTAGGGCGAATACCGGTGGAATTTCTAGCTACTTAAGCCAACAAGTCGTCAGAAATTAGTCACTT